ACTCATATCATCTCCTATTGTATTATAAACAACACTGAGGCTCACTGCTAAATGTCTGTTATTGACCCGGGAACTTGTACTGTATTTATGAGCCTTTTGGTCACAACATAAGTTACAGATATATTAAAGGTCTCATGTAATCCGTTTCTTCATCAATAATTGATTAAATAAATGACCTGTTATCATTATAGCTCTGTGTGTATCTGCTGCCATTAGCTAGACATTTGTGTTGGTAACCTCAGACTGTTTCAACAACACATCACTACAGTTAGCTGCAACAAGGGACCCACCAGAGACACTGCTTTATTATTTTTAGATATAGAATATAATAATAATTTATTTTTTAACTTTGAGCCACAATGAGCTGTTGCACCCTTGAGTAATTAGTTGTACTTGTACAGGTGATCTGAGGGACCTGATGAAGCTCAGGTGTACTTGGACCCACCAGAGGGGGAAGTTGTTGCAGCTGCAGCATCTGGAAAAGAAGACATATCAGGATGACCAGAAACCTTTACCTCGATGAAGGACGTGATCTGTACAGTTTACATAAAATGTATGGCTTTGCTACTTGCAATTTATATTTCTGGAATTATAACTGGAATTTTAATGAATAAAGTGTTATATTTTTACCTGCATCCAAAGTTTGAATGAGCTATAGTAAACAAGGTCCTCTGGGAGTGAGGACACGCGCTTCCACTAAGAGAACAAGAAGAGTAAAATGGAGAGAAGTGAGGTGATGACTAGACTGTCAACCAGATTAATTTTAACCTATATTCTTTGTGTGTAGAAACAATAGAACATCCCAATGAAGTCCCATTTGCATAATTTACAACCTGCAGTTCTGCCATAATTTTTGATATTTTTCCACCCTGTAATGGCCTAATTTTAAGGATACTGCAGTTGCCGTGTTGAATTTACTGTGTGGCTGTGCATGTGGGTCTGAATGTGAATGTGTACGTGTCAGTCCCAGATGTTGTTACTGGCCCATTCCCTGTGAGCTGGCATCAAAATGGGAATAGAGTGAGGTAAAGAGAGGGTTGGATGCAAAGGGGCAATAGAGGAATTAGGGGGTAGGGGTTTGAAGAGAGGCAGATGAGGATTTTATGCCAACTGCTCAATGAGTGGATAAATAGACTAGTACGGTTATTGCTAATTGTGGTAACCTAGTTAATACTTTTATTATCTTTTAACAATAACTACTGCACATTCTAAAATACTCAATGGCCACTATTTGTACTTGGGCTCTACTTGACACAGGCATATATTAGAGAGAAGCATTTATTCCTACTTTCCCATGTTTTATACACAGTAAAAAGCTGTATTTTCTAATCAGTTTTAATTTGCTATTGATGCAAACTTAACACTTCCTCCATGAGTACCCATTTGTCTTCAATGTATTAAATAAATTCAATGTAATCTACATTACACAGCACTAAATCCGTTAGTACATCAGATATGTTGATTTATATTGATAGTAACCTTAAGGTGATTGATTGAAACTGCAATGGAAAATATTAGGGCAGGAAGTTTCAGACAAGTAGTGAGTACAACAATGCTGTTGAACATTGCTGTGTCATGCAAACTATTGGTTTGTGCTGGCAATATTATTATTATTATCATTAGAGACTTAGAATTTGAATACCAGCTTGAATTACTTAATTTGAGAAGTTGAGAAATCATATATACAATACACGATACTCTTCGTATTTTATATGGATATTTTATATATTTTGATGTCTGTAGTAATCCTAGATTGTCTGAAACCTGACCTATAATATTGAATGTTATCATGCGCTGCAAATCATATTGACTCACTCATTAGATTGAAAGTCTCTAATCTAGATGTGGGCGAACATTAGATGGTGTCTAATAACTTCCACTGTATAATGCACTGACAGACAGAATTATGCACTAATGGAAACAGAAAACAGAGTTTTTTTGCATCTGTACAAATCTCTGATTTCGGGAATTCAGTAGAGGTAATAATGCAGCAAAAGTATTCTCGTTCTGTCCCAACATGTGTTGTTAGAATTGTTAGAACTGATGTTAATCACAAAGCAACACTTTAATAGCATCCTGTTGAAATGATTGATGTAGAGATTGAACAGTACATCGTTTGATTATGCCATTTTAAATATCATTGTTGATTAAAACCTAATATGACATTTCTGGTAAACAAAGTGTGGATTCAAAGTTAAACTGAAAAGGCTGAAAGGCAAAGTTCAGCTGCTGGAACAAGAGTTGTAATAAGCTGTGTGTGGCTGAGCTTATGGGTGGAGAAGGAAGGCACTGGGTCTTGAGCCAGGGATTACATCTGCATTAAGCCATTTCAATTTATATGCACATTAGTGTCTACATTAGCATTTCTGTGTTGTTTTTGTAAAGACCTGTCCAAGTGAAACACCTGAACAAAACAAAAATAGCTAAATCTCTTTTCAGTTGGCAAAGAACAAAATGATAAAATGATAGCCAATTAATTGATTGAGTCTCAGCCTCAAACATACACTTGACTATTAATTTGGAACTCTGAAGCTAGAAGGATTTTGGAGTTCAACATAGAAGAGTATACAAAAGCGGTAGTTTTGAAATCTCTATACACTTTATAGGATTCAAGTAAGCCAAGCCCAGCTGAGGAGGTGCAACTAAGTGAAGCCAGGTTTAACTTATTTGGATAAATGCACGTTCACCGCTTTCTTCAACGGACCACGAGGTCGATCACAGATTTACTGATGCTGAAATGGAGAAAATGCGTAGGCTACTGGAATTATGTAAAACATATATTATGTAAAAAAAGGAAACACAGCCGCTGTAATAAAACATTGAAAAAAAGCATGTCAGACTATAGTAGACCAACTGAACGTGACCAGCTATTTGGACACAAGTAATGTGAGTGGATTGTCAGTAAATGTTGGGAACGTAAGACGTGGTTGAGATACAGTCTTTTGACCACTACTTAAGCACTTCTTTTGGCATTAATGGTTGTTTGTTGCTTTACGGAGATTTTAATGAAGGCTAATACATACATAAGAACATTAAATAACTACTTGGTTTTTATATTAGGGTTACTGAGGATTAATCAAACCTGGCTCTTAGCCTTGTCTGGTGCAGGCTAGCTGCACAGAATAAATATCAGATAACTTACGTGCTGCTTTCATGAAACAGAGTCATAGCTAAAATCAGCCAGGATAACCTAATACTAATCCTGGCTTAATCCAATCCTCAATCTAGGTTTTGCCCCTCAGATCAATGAGATTAAACTGCATTCAATAAACATTCAAAGATGTTGCTTTGACTGGTGGTGAACCATTGGTTTGAGGGATTATGTATTTGTGCGTATGGTAATGGCTGCTTTCAAACATGTCCCCTTGTGGAACTGGGCCAAAATAAAGGAGAGAGGAAGGTATTAAGCAAGATTTGTGGAGCTGAAAAGACAGACTGTATCTAGAAAGGGAGAGAATTACTGTGTGTCAAATAGAAGCTAGTTTTAGCTTAGCTACTACCCACATACACACACTTGCATGCACACCTATACTTCAGAGTGCTGCTGGTCTTGCACTCCCCGCACCTCCCATCACCACCATTTCAGGAAGGAAGTATGGAGTCCTCCACTTATTACAGTCCAAAAATGTTGTAAGTTGTAATTACAAAAACAGGAGCTAGGAACTATGAGCGAGTGGAAACAGCTAAAGCTCCTCTTTCTAACTCTCCCTCTCCTCTCCTCTCGCCACTCATGCTGCCATTCAAAGTGATTCAAACTGCAGTTATGTCCACATCTTGCTAGGTAACGTGGTTTCTATTACTAATGGTGGCTGGGCAGTGAAATAGTCACCAATCCATCACATATAAAGGGTTTTGACAAACCACAAAAAGTCCACCATTAACTGCAGCAAGTATCCATCAACAGTCTCTCTGGCTGCTGGTTTACTTTTAACATTAGACTCACACACCACATGCTCAACAGGAGAGAGATCAGATGAGGTGGAGGCGACTATGGGAGGCAGGGAGGACAAGTCAGGGAGAAATTGCAGGCAGGTAGGGTTATATATGTTGTATATAGGGTTAGGTTATTTTAGTTTGTTTATAATGGGAGGAAGGAGTGAACATGATAACAAGTGAACATGGTTGAGTACAATTGACAATGTGTGAATATGAAAAAAGTTTAATTTTATTTAATATATAATACATGTGTTTGTATTATTGTTTGTTTTAAATGACATTACCAATATAGAAATACAGCTTTCTTATGCATATTTCTTTTCATTTTCTTGTTATAATTTAGCATGATGACAAACTTAATTATTTCCCTTCTTTTGTATTATTGTATTCCTTTCAGGTATGTAAAAATGTAGGGAATAGAAATTGAATTGCAAATTAAAGTAAAAGGGGGGAAAGAGAACAGAGCAGAAATACAAAAAAAATCCTCTCAAAATACCATTGTACATACATACAAAAGTCATCAGTTTCCTCTAACTTAAGAAAACAGTATGCTGTTGTAATGCAATCAAGTCAAAGCATAAAGAAAGGATATTGTAGCTAGTCAGAAACAT